TCAGTAACATTTTAATGAGAAGTATTCCTTTTCTCTATTGCCACAAAACCTGTGTTTTCAGTGTCATTTAAAATATCTCTCAACTGTACAGTAAATGAATTGAATCTGGATATCATATTCCAATATTCCATGTATTTCTTTTTGTCCCTAGACAGAGCTTGGACTTTTGATTTGGACTGTTGGTAGTTCTGCCCATTACTGAAACTATGAAATATTCCAAAAGATTAATTTTGCTAATTTTAAGTTGAAGGTCTTTTTGCTACTTAATTCTAGCAGTATTTCTTGTATGAAAAGTTTTTTTCTGATGCTTTGCTTTCTTCATTCTGATTAGTTTTGCTTTTCTTATTTCTCTAATCTCTCTAAGAGCCTTTTTTTTTTTTTCTTCTTTTTTTAAATGCTAGGAAGATCTTGAAAACAGCTGACTCTACGTTACCTGGTTGGGATCACACCCACAGAAGTTTAGGGATATTTAGTAATAGAAAATGGAAATGCAAATGAATTTTCATATTTCGGTGATAGAAATGGGGTCAGAGAAGTGCTTTGACAGGTTAATTGGTTATCCTGGAAGTATGTTTATTATACTAAGAGTTAACTAATGTTTTGCTTTTTTTTTTCTTCTTTTTCTAGCTGGAAATCTTGTGTTCAGTCAATATTCTACAGTTCATATTTATTGCACTCAGACTAGATGAGATCATCAGATGGCCATGGCTTGTATGTAACCAGTGTTTTCTTCTTATCTTTGTTTAAATGCTGTATTTCATAAAGACATTTATTCTAGGGAACAGTTAATACATGATCAGTTCATGATCCCATTTTTGCTCACTTTGCAATCCTTCACTGAAGGTCTGTCATTTCATTCAGTGGTCATGGGAATCAGAGGCTTTTCTTTAGGCACGTTGTCCTCTGAGGGAGAGGAATGTGCCATCAACTGCAGTTAGTCTCTGAGCAGCAGTTGAAAGAGAAATCCTCACAAGAAGTTCCCAATGGGAACACTAAACAAACAATGATAATGATTGGTGACTTAAAGAATATGTTGGTAAATACAGTGTAGTAAATAAGTTTTATTTGTTGTGTTACCATGAATATAAATCCACTTACTGTGCAAGTAGTCACTGTCAAAACTGCTTAGTTGTCCCGTCCCAAGTGCCTTTAGAATTCAAAAGCACTGTTTCTGTGTCTAGGTTTTTGTAAACTACCATAAAACTGACAATCTGGCATGGTTACATCTGTCCTTTCTATTGTTAATCTTGAGGATTGAAACCCTTCAAAGTCAGGTATCCAGTGTAGGAAGTACTTGATAAAATTCAGTTTCAAGTACAGTTTGAGCTCATGCAAAATCACAGAAGTCTTGCCAAAGTTGAACTATGTTGCCTTAATTTTAAATTGCTTCAACTTGATGGGGTGTAGAAAGCTGAGGAACCCCTGAACTGATACATCTTGGAACACACGTAAGTTTGATGCCCTTCTGTTAGACATTATATTAGTTAAAAGACTTAATTTTCTTGTTTAGGCTTAATACGTAGACTCGCTTTAGTTGAAAAAAAAAAACCACCCAAAAGCGTCTTTCTTTCAGGTTGTCTGTGTTCCACTGTGGATCTTGATGTCCTTCCTGTGCCTTGTTGTGCTCTATTACATTGTGTGGTCTGTGCTGTTCCTGCGCTCCATGGACGTGATTGCTGAGCAGAGGAGGACACACATAACCATGGCTGTCAGCTGGATGACAATTGTAGTTCCACTGCTCACATTTGAGGTAGGAAAAGTCATAATGAGGTTAATGTGTCTTGTTCTTTTTTCAGTAAGTAATGAATGATGATTTTTTAACTTACTGAAATGAGAATGCTGCTCTTTGTTTTGGAATAAAATATTAACAGCAAATATGAAATACAAATGAGAATTCTATATTCCTTTGAAGTGTCTTGAGTAAAGTCACATTGCATCACATTGGAATTGTAACTACATGCTTCTGTGAAGGCCATTTTTTCCTCACAGATGTGTTGAGTTAACCATTTCAGATCAGCATATGCTTTAAGCAGTTTGAAAGTGAGTATTGCAATTAAACTGACATTGTGTAATTTTTTTTTTTTTGCCATTTAGATCTTGCTAGTACACAGACTGGATGGGCATAATTCTTTTTCTTTCATACCCATATTTGTTCCTCTCTGGCTTTCACTGATAACATTAATGGCAACAACATTTGGACAAAAAGGAGGCAATCACTGTAAGTTTTTCAGAATCCTGGAAACAGATTAAAAATCAATATATTTTATTAAGATTTGTATTTTCCAAAAGGGCTTTCTGTTACAACTGTTTTCAGACAGTTGTAATAAGGTTTCAGTGCTTACAGTGTCCTCCCCTGTGGCACTGTTTACTTTGATTGAAGTGCAGTCTTTTGTGTTCCTTCTCTGTACTGATGTGACCCAACACTGTATAATGTGTGAAACAAAATGGATTCTTGCTGGCGTAGTGTAGCTGTAATTTATGCAGATGGATATACACACAGGTGTGCATGTGCAGACATGGAACTGTGCAAATGCTTGTCCAGACTGTCTGTGTGCATATAACCTCAATTATAATGTTATGATAGGCATAAGGAATATTATAATGCGTATGCAGCATTAATAAATCTTACTTATATGCAAACAGTTAAAAGATCTTAAATAAATAGTCTGTCTACTTAATTTTAAGTGTTCCTTCTGTTAATAATGTAATAATGTAATAATGTTTCTTCTAGGGTGGTTTGGAATTCGCAAAGACTTTTGCCAGTTCCTTCTTGAAATTTTCCCATTCTTGCGAGAATATGGAAATATCTCTTACGATCTTCATCACGAAGATAATGAGGAGACAGAAGAAACACCACTGCCTGAACCACCGAAAATTGCACCAATGTTTCGAAAAAAGACTGGAGTGGTCATTACACAGAGTCCTGGAAAATATGTGATTCCACCTCCCAAGTTAAACATTGATATGCCAGATTAAGATGACACTAGCATATTAAAATTGAACTGATCATCAGCAGACAGATGTATTTCATCTCATGCCTTGTCCCAATTTCTTTAAAATAGGTATTGCTGAATCAGTGCTTGGATTATACAAATCAGAAATCTCGAAGATAATCTGAGTGCTTTTCCAGAAATATGTGGTTGTCTAATTTGTGAACCTTCCTAACAGGTTGGTTGCACGCTTGCCTGTATAGTATTTATATGAACATTTTTAGCAGTGTAATATATTGTTTAAAAGTCCTGTTGTGTACAGTATAAGTATTATCTAAAAGTATTTTTTTAAAAACCCTGTATGCAATGTCTCTGCTATTCCAGGTGTCTTTTAGGTCCTAAATATACACTTGATTTTCATGTCTTTTAAATGCTTTGGGATGCCTTAGCATAGTACCTCTTTTCTTTCTCTGTTCAGCCACAATCATTGTCTCAACCACAGAGGCACAAGAGTGTTGCATTTCTGAGGTAACACTGGGAAGCTTTTTGGGGGGGAGTGGAATAGAATGTATGGTGACTTACATGATGCTTTTGAGTTATCTGTGTAAATTTTCATGTAAGTATTTCAACTTTTGTGCTGGCTTGGGAGTTACATGTTGTTTTTGTTGCTTTTCCAGTTTCATGTTTTGATTCTTAAGCAGCATGTATCATTCTCCCATTGGACTGGCTGTTCCTTCTTGCATTGTGTAGTCTGTGTCAGAAACATTTGTGGTAGGTTTCACAGCTGTTGACTAGCTGGTATAAATATAGCTTGGTCTTCATTACCATCTTTGTGTTGGTCGGTGTAAATGATTAAACTCTTCAAGATAGGATCTTGCTGGTGTTGGCATAGCACTTTCCTGTTTGAAGAAAGACCTGCTTTGACAGTGTGCCTTGGATTTAAAGGTGCTTTGGAGAAATGGACTCTATGAAATGTGTAGTCCTGTAGTTTATAAAAACAGATTCTCATATTCCCAAACCCTTGCATCTGCTCTCTGTGTTTAGGTAATCCACAGTCAGCTTATATCCATGTGTCTTGTTTCTTTAGTTTTAGCATGGCAGTAAGAGCAGAGCATGTGGACATTTCTGCATGTGTTTAAGGTGTATGCCTGAAAAACCTGGATGCAGCATTTCCATTTCTGATGCTCCTGAGCTCCCCTTTCTTGCCTGTGGATCAGCCGCTGACCGAAACCCAACCCATCACTATCCCATCCCACAGTTTAAATTTTGTTGCAATTTTATTTCTATATATTTTTATTTATATATATTTTATTATATTCTGGTTTAAAAAATCAAACATCAGTGGGATTGTTACTGGACATCAGTTTGCTGGCACATTACCATGGAGAAGAAAACCAGATGCTGACTTTGCATGAGAAACCACTTCCCAGAAGGAGAACAGTCCATGCACATCAGATCCAAGGGAGAATGCATTGCACAGCTCTGCGATGGGGAAGGCCTCACCTGCTCAGCACAGTGCCAAGGCAGGTCCCCAGGGCAGTGGTTCCTGTACAGCTCTATGTGCTGCCACTCAAACAAAAGCACTTGAGTTTCCAGCCTCTGCGCCTTCCCTTCAGCCAAGGCATGGCTGGGTGTGGCTGGGGCCAGGGAGCTACTCTGCTTCACCCAGCCCTTACCTGCAGTCTCTTCCCACCTCTCCCAGCTGTACTGGCAGCAGCTCGGTCTTTGCCCAGCTCCATGCGTGGTTCAAACAGTGGATCTGCAGGTAGTAGCCCTGGGCCCTGGTGCTGCGGGTGCAAGATAATTTCCTTGGCTCTGGTAGAAGTGGTGTAGTCCAAAAGAATGGTTTCCTAAGTGTTTAAGTAAACTGTCTAAATACAAAGGCTCTGCCACTTGTTCTGGTTTTAGAGCCATGCCTAGGTGTGGCTTTGCTCCAAAAAATCAAAAGGATTTTCACTGTACTACTCCTAATGTAGGGTTGTGGAGACTGAACTGGTTGGGCATCAGCTTAAGACTGGGGGATGTTAGCAAGCCTGTTCATACATGGTTATGCTTCCAGAATGTTCTTAGTTCTCTCCCCTGATTGGTTGTCATTTGCCACATTATTTTTAGTATTTGTAATCTCAGTCTGTGATTGGAACCCTGCCTTCAGATACACCCTCAGATCTTCCATTTATATACTGTTGTACCCACCCTTTTTCACCTTTTGGGGTTGACCCTGTACTGTGTGTTTGCCTTCTGCCGTTTATTATTTTGCCATTAAAGCAGTTTTACTTTTTGGGTCAGACAACTAAGCCCATCCTGTTATTTAGCCACACCACTCCTAGCTGGCCCAGGTCCGAGGTCATGAAGCCAAAACGTGACATAGGCTGTAAGTTTTGGAAACATCTTGAGAGTCCTGAAACTTAGTGGCTATTATTTGTAATTCTTCCCACTTGTCTTGAATTCAGTATTAGATTTTCAAAGATAACTAGTATTTTTCATCTTAAGAGAAAAAACGTAATAATTTAATTTTGTATAAGCACCTTGTAATGGCCTTGGCGCAATGTTTGTCAGATCACAGAGGTATATCCATTATATGTACATCTTGTGTGCCTGAAATGTGAAGAAAATAATCTATCCTTAAGGCAGGACAAAGACGGTCTGGGACAGATGTCTTATTAATTGTGGCAGCCTGCTTTTAAGCACCATTTTCCTATAATCAGAGATGCAGATGTCAAAAAATCATTTACATTTCAATTGGAATGCCATCCATAACTATACATTTTAAAAATGTCACTTAGTGTTCATACAGGAAAAGTCTAGAAAAAATTAATAATTTCCTGTAATAGTCATAAAGACACATCTTGTTTGCTTTGCATCAAAAAAGTAGTTTTTCAAATATATTTGCCATTTGAAATAGTTTTGGAATAGAATCCTAAACAAGATACTGATGTAATTCACAAGTCAGCAACTTAAATAAAAATCTGCATTTAGGCAGGAAAAATAATAGTAAGGGGTAACACCTAAAATTCTGAAGGGATCAGTTCTTCAGGGATGTCCACCTGCCACACCCCTGTTCTCCCTCGGGCAGGAATTGGTTCCAGGAGCCATCTGGGATTTGAAACAACAGTCAAGTATTTCTGTTCTAGATTGCTGAGGACAGCTTTGTTTTCCAGCTCCATAATCTCTTCAGGAGGCAGGTTTTCTGGATATAGTGATGTCTCTCCAACGTCAATTAATCCTGTATTTTACAATTAAAATATAAAATTACGTGTCACTTTGTTCTCCTAGAGAAAGGTTTTCCAGAGTAGACCTCCCTGAGAACAGCTTTTATAGTTTGTTACCAGAAAAACAGTCAGGCACACCTCCCACCCCTGCTGTTTGCTGCAGAAGTCCTTGTGACTCAGCTCAGGTGGGTGAAGAAAAGGAGGAGGGCACAGTTAAAATCACCACAACCCAGTGATGCACAACTCCTTGAAAAGCAGCCTCCATCTAAGGAGACACAGCTGCTACCAGAACTCCTGAGCTCTGTTTGGCCTTGGACCAGATTCAGTAAAGCATAAAACTCTCTCTCTGCTCCTTTCAAGCCACTAATCAATTAACATTTTTAAACCATTAAACTGTTTTGAAATTCCTACCTACTCAGCAATTAAGCATGCAATTTATGTTAAGGCTGCAAATCTACATACAGCGTACAACCTACAGTTTTCAGCTTTTTACTGTTTTTCAGGTTTTACTGTAGAACCACAACAACGTTCAGTATGTGTGGTAGAATTAATTTGTTGTGCAGAAATAGTTTAAAGTAGTCAAATGACAATGAAAGATGGTAACAAAGGTACCTACAATGAAATAGTACAAAATGAGCACTGGATAAAAATTTTGTAAGTGTACAGTGCGCAACAGCTGCTATGTATCTGCACAAATTATGCAGAGAAACACTGCTGCCTCTGCACTGTGTGTTATAGAAACAAACTTTTTTACTGCCCAAATACCAAAAGCAACAGAGGGAGTTTGTAAAACTGAAATAGGATTTATTTATGTATAATCTAAAATGACATGCAAAGTGCTGCAATATCATGAATTCACTTGACCGTGAGTACTGCAACATGGTTTCAGCAAGAATTCCTAAACTCAAAATGCAAGAAGTGTGGAATTGACATGTATTATGCTAAACAATACAGGAATTGAAACAGACCCCCCCACCACAACTCATGCTCCACTCCTTCAAAGTGTTAAAGAAATGTCATAATGAGTGCAAACACATACAGTAGATAGGTGTTTAAGTGACTGTTAGGGAAACTGAAAGTTTGCTTAGAAAATATAATCCAAGGATGCTTACCTGCAATAACTCCTCTGCCAAATTTTTCCCCTTCATCCAACAAATCTTGCAGTTGTTTCGATGTCATGCCGAACCTATTCAGAAGAATTTCGCTCCATGTTTCGTCTTCCCAGTCCTTAACAGCTATATGAACAGCAATGGTGCAGTTCTTGTAGCCTGCTAGAAAAGGACGCCAGCGAGTCTCTACCGTTTTGACTCGGTTTAGAAGCAACCCTGCGTAGGGCTGTCGGAAGGAAAGGCAACCGAATTTCATCGTGCTTCTTGCATCAGAAGTTGTTTATTTCCTGTAAACACACAGACTCCCGGGGATGAGTCTCCAGAAGCGGCCGATGTCTGTGACAAACTCCCGGCTCCGGAGCAGCGGAGCTGCGCGGCCTCCCCGGAGGTGGGTCCGCCCCCGCAGGCAGCGCTCTGCCCGCGTCGTGCTCCAGGCTCGGGCCGCGGCTGGGCCGCGCCGCCCAAACAGCCGCCTCCGGGGCCAGGCACAGCCTTACGGCCGCAGGCGCAGGCCTCCGCAGCCCAGCTCGACCCAGCCCGCTGCGGCCCCCGTGCGCTGGCTCCCGCGGGCAGAGCTCATCCGCCGTGCGGCCATGGAGTCCCCAGGCCCGCCACCTACCTGCACTGCCGGCTCCGCGCCCTCTCCTCTGCTAGCCCCCTCGGACGGTGGGTGCCGGGAGCGGGGCGTGCCGGGAGCGGGGCGGGCCGGGCCGGGAGGCGGTGGCCTCGCGGGCGGGAGCGCGGGCCCGGCATCGCTGAATTGAGCGTGGCCGCGTCGCTCCTGAGAGTTCTCGGTTGTCCCGGGAGGAGGGATGGGGTTATGGCATGGTACTCGGCGATCCGGAGTGGTGGGTACCCGGCGGTGGGTGCTGAGGGGAGGAGGGAGCTGTTTGTGCCCTGCCCGAGGGGTGTCCGCTGTGGCACTGCCAGGCTTGGGCAATGGGTTTGGTGGCCTGCTACTCCTGGAGTACCCTGTCCACAGCACCTCGGGTGTTCCTGTCCGGCTCTGCAGCCGGGAGGTGCAGGGCTTTCGCGCCTCTGGTCATAAATAAGCATTTAACAGGAGAAAATTCAGTGTCTTTCACCTCTTAGCCTTCTTTGGCCACTTGTTTGGGACAAAATTTCTTAAAGTGGGTTCATCCACCCCTACTCTATGAGGACAATCTTACCAATAGCCTGTTGCGTTCAATTGCGTGTTTTGCATCAAGGCTTTGCCCTTCTAATACAAGCGTTTTGAATAAAGTATTTACTGTTTGACGACAGGTTTTGTGTGTGCTAGTCCCGCTATGACCCCTGGCAACAGGGAGCAATGTGCGGGGGCCTTGTGAACATTCAGAGACCTTATAGGAAAAGATAATTTGGAAAAGGAGAGGTTCAGAATGCATGTATGGTCCTGCTGTATGTGTTCAGTTTTAATGGGCAGCGTATATATATTTTATCAGTGAGCACATGTTTGTACACTATAATTTCGAAGGTACACAAATGAAAGTGACCTTATTAAGGCAGGCCGTGATACTAAAAATGGCTACTGATGCAGCAAGTTGAAGGGTTGAGTCCTGCCTGAATTTCTGCAGGTACAAAAGATAAAAAAAGTACAGATGTATCTGTGTCCAAATAAAAATCACAGAAGATTCATCTCTCCTGTAAAGCCGTATCTTTCAGCTGAGGTCAGTAAATACAAGTATTTGGGGTGCTTTGCTATGCACATAGCATTTGAGAGAGAAAGGGAGGGGAGAGTATGTTGACCAAATGGAATGAGTTAGGAGAGACAGACGAGGAAAAAGAAAAGAGAAAATGGTAGTATTTACAAAGGGGAAAAGTAATGATGACTTTTTTTTTTTGTCTTTTGCTCTGTTGAACCACATCTCTTAACCATGAGAAATCTCAAAGCTACTTTAAAAATTCCAGGAACTCACAGGTGGAAAGAGTATAGTGATCTGCTGGGATTACACTGAGAAAGAGAGATGGGCAGATCCTATACTTAGAAGGGCAGAGGAACTTCATATAGCAAAAAGGTATGATTAATGATGGGATTTTTTGTTCAGATCTCTGACTTTGTGAATAATGGATATTTATTGGTAAAACCTTAGTATTCTGTAACTGCAGGCTTAAGTGATTCTTTTCTGATAATAAGTCCTTCACATAACTTTTATGAGAGCCAGTTTTGGTATATGCTTTAAATATACTTTAAGTTAATGTTGTGTATTCTGAGGTATCTATGGCTGATAGAATTTAACTGTTGAGACCTAGTTTTACTTACTACCATTTTCTGAAATTTCTGCTTAATTATCCAGTTTTCCCCCTGAATATTTCCAATATCTTGTTCAAAATGTTCCAAATGGAGTTGTTCCAGTCCTTTATATAACATCATAATAAGAAGAGAAATTAATAGATGATGTGAATTTAATTCCCTTGTAGTTTTTACAGGGTTATTACTTTAAATGCTTTTTTTGCTTTAAGCTCTTTTCATTTTACTAGATGTGTATGGTTAGTACAAGAACCTGTTGGATCTGTTTAGAGTAGCAAGTAAGTAATGAGTTTCATGGGGGTTTTGTTATTTGCTTTTGGAGTTTTTCCACTGTATAATTGTATTTTATATGGGGGTTATTTATTTCGGGGAAAATATAGGCCAGAACTTTTTAATGTTGTGTAAGCAGCTTTGTTTCCTTTCACGTACCTTATAGCACAATTTTTTATACTGTGTTTCATCACATAGATAAAATAGACTTTTTTTTTCTTTATCTAAGGAAAAATCCCCAGGGTACTTAAAATCTTAAGTCTAACAGCTGTAAATAAAATGTAAATAGCAGAATATACGTGTGCCACTACCAAAGGTGAATAAATATGTTGAAAATCTCCTCTCACTAAACTGTCTCATTTGGTTTGTAGAAACCTTGTCCCATATATTGGAACACTCACCAAAAGACTTAACAGCTTCTAGCAGCATGTAAATAAAGCTCTGCAATTCACATTCTTGTGTATTGTTCAGCCTTTTGTGTGATGATTGGTAAAGGGACTTTAGTAGGTTTTTTCAGGATTGAAGATAATGATTCAAACTGTGCAGCAGTGAATATGAAATGAAAATTCATTCTGATTTTAGCAGATGACAAGCTTATGATTGGCATCTTAGATGTACTTTATTGTTTTCTGGTCATTGTGGCTTTCACATGCTAGCACCAATCCCAAATTATCTCCTTTTGGTGCAGTACCTTGCATATAATCTCACCAACAAGAAATTCTGTAACTTATGTCTGTGCTTCCATAACCTGTACTTCATTTCAGTGCCTCTATATTAGCTTTTCTTACAGTGTCCCTAAGTTTAATTTTGATAGAGCGAAGACTATGTAATTCCCAGTGGAGAATGTGTTACTGCTTTCTGTGGAGCTAAAACAATGCCTGGTACATCCTTTATAAGGACACAGGTCTGATCTCATCTAGATAGGCAAGTATTGCTGTGTTCCTTGTCACATTCACTTAGCAGCTGATTTTACAGGGTTCAGTACACAGCAATAGGGGCTGGGATATCTTGTGTCAAAATCAGGTCAAGGGACTTGATCAGCTACAGTTCATTTCCAAAGTGGGGACAGATGTGGTGCAGTATGTTCCAGGAAACTGGGAGTCAAAACTGAAATTTCAGCTGTTAATAACCCATGAAATACAATTCACTACAATTATCTGTATTGAATGTCACTGTTTAATAGTTGACATTCATGAGAATCTGTACTGTGTTGACATTTGAACAGACACTGCATTTTACTACATTTTAGAACATTAAACAATGTGAAATGTTATGCTGCAATCATATTCTTTTGGCAGTAATTCCAACATAAGGACTTCTTCCAACCTTTACATTTTGCACCTTTTGTCTAAAGCTTACTCGGTCCCTGATTCTAACATTCTAGTTAAAATAATACTGACATTTTTGCTATGCTGTTTTGTATTTCTTTGTACTTATCATAAGAAATTATGACTGTCTTAAGCTTGGTTCAGTAAACATATCTTGAGTTTCTTTAGATGATTCTCTTATCACCAGTTTTATTGCAACACTGTATTTTCTGAATGAGTTTCTGAAAATTTGAATATTTGGCTCTTTTTTTTTTTTTTACCTTGCCCCCCCATACCCTGTAAGTAGAGCATACTTCTGGTTTGTAACACACTGATATCACTAGCCTTGTCAAAAGTTTTGGCATTATAAACAGTCATAGTCATAGATTGTTGGTGACTTACAGCAAAGTTTCCTTCTGTCTGAGAAATATTTTGGAGGTATATAGAACAGGCCAAAGCATTAAGTATTCTTCTCAGTACTCTACAATGTGTTAGACACACCTAGACCCCTACTTCCCCCCACATATGCAATATCCTGCCTTGTCCTTTTTCCATTAGATCTTGTTGCTGAATTTTCCATGTGTTTGCACTGGGCATCAATTGTGTGGGCATGAGACAGGCCGTGTCTGCTGGTGACTTTTATCTGCTAAGTGATTTATTTCTAAACTTAGAGATGGCTAATATTTTAGAGACCATCCTGGTCCTTCTGCTTTTCTGAAGGTTATAAGAAAGTTGTAGCTATAGGCTGAGCCCCAATCTAGCTGATTTAGAAACATCTTGTGTAGCTCTCCATAGCAATCTTTTTTTGATTGAGATGCGTGGCTTCATGCTGAGGTAATCTGCAGAGGAGGGAGAGCTTGTAGTAATGACCTCTCCTTCCCCTGCTGATTACTATGTTGTGCTGGTTTTGCATTAATTGATATTTGATGAGGCAGGAAGAAGCTACCCACAGAAATTATTTTTCTGAGAGAACCTGCTAAGAGCTTACCCTGTGCCTGGCAAAAACCAATAGCTGGCTAGCTCTGAGAATTGATAACTTAATAGCCCATTAAAAAGCTAGACCCGCCTCTGTGTGATGTGAAATTCACATTTTAAAGATGGGCAATCTCTCTCTTGCTTCTGGCTTTGAAGCGGTAACTGGGCGCCAGTCGGGCCGGCCCCGCTCCACTGCGGCCCTCGGGGCCTGGCGGGGCCGAGCCAGACTCCAGTGCTAGCCGGGCGGAGAACGGGAGGCTGCGGGGCCCCGGCCGGGGCTGGGCCGGGCCGTGGCTGCTAACATCTTGCTGACACTAAGCCCTGCCCCACTGCTGGCCCACGCAGAGCCGGGATCCGCCGGGCCCCGGGAGCGGCTCCGGGCCGGGCCAGACCCCCTCCGCCGCGTGGCTGCCGGGCAGGGGCAGGGGAAGCCATCGGCCCGCAGCTGGAATTGAAGGAAGCAGGGGCCGGAGAGCAGCCATGCGGCCGCTACCGTTCTGGCCGGGCCCCCTGAGATCTTGGCACAGCCCCCAGCGCGACCTGAAATCCCTCACTGTGACTGCTTCAGCTACCGCCCGGCAGAAACCATCGTGACCATCTGCAGGCCTGGGCGAGATATTAACTCTTCCACTCCACAGATGAAACTTGCAAAACATTGATCCTCGTTCAAGTGAGAGAAAAGGATAGAGTGAAGACACATAGAAGACAACATGAAGACACCAAGGTCAGTAAAGAAGGAGTCAAGTTTCAGATGGAAGGAGAATGAGGATGTAATAAATGGAATTGATTCGTGCTGACTAAATTGTAACTGTTATTAAAGTTATTATTAGAAGCAATCAAAAGAATCAGTGTTATAAGGCAGATGTACCCCTTTACAGATGTTATAATTGAG